GTGGAAAAGACTGGAACCTACCAGAAAAGATTGTCTACAACTAAAGATACAAAGAAGGAACCACAATAAGATGGGTAGGAGGGGCATCATCATGATATAGTCAAATCCCATACCCCTGGGTGGACAATTCACAAACGGGAGGATAAGTACCATTGCAGAGGTTCTCCCCAATGAGAGAGGGGTCTGACCCCATGTTGGGCTCCATAGCCTGGGGGTCACATACTGGGAAAACGAGCCCCCAGAGCATTTGGCTTTGAAGACCAGCAGGGCTCACTCTCAAGAGTCCCAGAGAGCTTTGGGAAGTAGAAACTGTACTCTTAAAGGACGCCCACAAACTCTCACATGCTCCGGGATCCAGGGCAGAAGCAGTAATAGGAGCCTGGGTCAGAGCTACCTGCTGATCTGGAGAGTCTCCCAGAGAGGTAGGAGGCAACTGCAGCTCACCCTGGGGACACAGACACTGGTGGCAGCCATTTGGGGAGCTCATTCTACTATGAGGACACTGGTGCTGGTAAGCACCATTGTGAAATCCTCCCTCTAGCTTATAAGCCTCAGGACCCATCCCTGCCTGTAGGCAAAAGTGCTGAGACACCTCATGCCAAGCAACTAACTGGGCATGGGCACAGCCCCACCCACCAACAGACAGGCTGCCTTAAGACCTCCTGAGCCCACAGCTGCTCCTGGACAGGGCCCTGTCCACCAGAGGGCACGGGATCTGCCCCACAAGCCAGTGTGCAGGCACCAGACCCGGGACCCCCAGCGACCTCCAGCCAGAGACCCTGGGACCCAGCTTCACCCACCAGTGGGCAGGCACCAACCCCAGAATCCCCTGGACTCTGGCCCTGCCCTCCAGTGAGCCTGCTCTAGCCTTGGGACCAGCTTCACCCACCAACAGGTGTCACTCTTTGTCACTATTTGCTATTACTATTTGCAGATGACATGACACTATACATAGAAAATCCTAAAGACACCACCAAAAAACTACTAGAGCTCATCAATTAATTCAGTGAAGTTGTAGGGTCCAAAAATAATATGCAGAAAATCTGTTGCATTTCTATACACTAACAACAAACTATCAGAAAGAGAAATTAAGGAAACAATCCCATTTACAATCACATAATAAAGAATAAAATACCTAGGAATAAACCTGCTTAAGGAGGCAAAAGACCTGTACTCAGAAATCTATAAAAGATGCTGATGAAAGAAATCAAAGATGACACAAACAGATGGAAAGATATACCATGTTCTTGGATTAGAAGAATCAATATTGTCAAAATGACTATACTACCCAAGGCAATCTACAGATCCAATGCAATCCCTATCAAATTACCAATAGCATTTTTCACAGAACTAGAACAAAAAAATTTTTAATCTATATGTAAACAGAAAAGTTAATGAATAGCCAAAACCAAAAACAGAAATATAGATCAACGGAACACGATAGAGAGCCCAGAAATAAACCCACACACTTCTGGCCAATCTACAACGAAGGGTGCAAGAATACACAATGGAGAAAAGACTGTCCCTTCAATAAGTAGAGCTGGGAAAACTGGACAGATACATGTAAGAGAATGATATTAGAAATTCTCTAAGACCATATACAAAAATAAACTCAAAATAAATTAAAGACCTAAATGTGAGACCAGATACTATAAAACTCCTAGAAAAATACATAGATGAGACACTGTGACATAAATAGTAGCAATATTTTTTTGGATCTGTCTCTTAAAGGAGATAAAAGCAAAAATAAACAAATGGGACCGAATTAAACTTAAAACTTTTGCACAGCAAAGGAAACCACTGACAAAACAAAAACAAAAAGACCACCTACTGGGACTTCCCTGGTGGTCCAGTGGTTAAGAATCCGCCTTCCAATGCAGGGGATGTGGGTTGGATCCCTGGTCAGGGAACTAAGATCCCACATGCCACGGGGCAACTCAGCCCATGCGCGCTCTAGAGCCCATGTGCCACAACTAGAGAGAAGCCCGCCTGCCACAACAAAAGATCCCGCATGCTGAAACTAAGATCCAGTGCAGCCAAATAAATAAATATTTTTTAAAAAGACAACTTACTGAATGGGAGAAAATATTTGCAAATGATATGACCAACAAGGGGTTAATATCCAAAATATGTAAACAGCTCACACAACTCAACATCAAAAAGACAAACAGGGGCTTCCCCGGTGGCGCAGTGGTTGAGAGTCCGCCTGCCGATTCAGGGGACGCGGGTTCGTGCCCCAGTCCAGGAGGATCCCACATTCTGCGGAGCGGCTGGGCCCGTGAGCCATGGCCGCTGAGCCTGCGCGTCCGGAGCCTGTGCTCCACAACGGGAGGGGCCACAACGGTGAGAGGCCCGCGTACCGCAAAAAAAACTCAACAACAACAACCACCCAATTTAAAAAATGGTCAGAAAGCCTGAATAGACATTTTTCCAAGGAAGGCTCACAGATGGCTGAGAGGCATATGAAAAGGTGCTCACCATCATTAATCATCAGAGAAATGCAAATCAAAACCACAATGAGATATCTATCACCTCACACTTGTCAGAATGGCCATCATCAAAAAGACAACAAATAGCAAATGTTGGCAAGGAAGTGGAAAAATGAAAGGCTAACACAATATTGGTGGGAATGCAAATTGGTGCAGCCACCATGGAAAACAGGATGGAGGTTTCTCAAAGAACTAAAAGTAGAACTACTGTATGACCCAGCAATTCCACTCCTGGGTATATATCCAAAAAAAAAAAAGAAAGAAAACTCTAATTGAAAAAAAAGATGTGTACCCCAATGTTCATAGCAGCATTATTTACAATTGCCAGCCTGAGTGTCCATCAAAAGATGAATGAGTAGTATTTTGCCCTTTGCAGCAACATGGATGGACTTGGAGGGGATTATGCTAAGTGAAATATGTGAGACAGAGAAAGACAAATACTGTATGATCTCACTTACATGTGGAATCTAAAAACTACAACAAACTAGTAAAGATAACAAAAAAGCAGCGGACTCACAGATATAGAGAACAATAGTGGTTACCAGTGGGGAGAGGGAAGGGAGGAGGGGCACGATAGGGAAAGGGGATTAAGAGGTACAAACTACTATGTATAAAATAAATAAGCTACAAGGATATATACTACAACACAGGGAATATAGCCAATATTTTGTAATAATGATAAATGGAGGGCATTATGCTAAGTGAAATAAACCAGACCAAGACAAATATTGTATGGAATCACTACTATGGGAAATCTTTTTGAAAAAAAGAAAAAGTAGAACTCTCAGAAACAGATAGTAGAATGGTGATTATATCATGTTTTGTAATCTTCTTTTTTTGCCCTCACTTAATAATGTATTTGATGTTTTTCTATATCACTAAATATAGATGAACATCATCATTTTAAAAGATTGGTTAATATTCCATGCTAGGGATATTGCACTATCATTAAAGAGCTCTTGCCTAATGAAGCCTGAGGTGTGCTCCTACCCACTTGTGATCAGCTGGGCTCTGTCTCTCTAGGTTACTTTGATAGGAACTAGCTCCTAGTGGAGTGGGAGATTGGCAGCTGAGGTGTCTCCAAGGGAAATATAAGTTAATTTTCTTTGCATCTGTGGTTATATCTCCTTCCTTATTTCAAATTTTATATGTGTGGAATTTCTTATTTTTATTTGGTTATTTATTTTATTGAGTTTTAATCAGAATCAACTCTTCTTTAAGCTCTTGGATTGAAATTTATTAATTAATTACTATAATGTTTTAATTTATTTTTATTCACACATGTAATACAAAAAAATGTCCTCATTACAAAAATTCAACCAGTACAGATATAACTAAAGTTCCTCTTGATCACTATTCCCAATCCCAGGCCCTTCTCAGAGTATGGCGGATGTCATTCTAGACCTGTTTATGGAGTTTCATTTCCCCTTTTCTCACCCAATTACTGTCTTCCTCAGGAAAAGGAAGTATTAGATTTATCTAAGTTATAACAGTGGAATTTTTTAAGTGAAAAACCTTATTTAAATTACTCATTTCGGCTCCAGTCCTGGTCTACTCTGACCCAACATGGTTTTATACCATCAAAAATATGCTTTAAATATCATGAAATTGGGCTTTTGTATCCCATGTCTTCGTATTTTTTAATATACTCCTTTATTTTGGTAGAAGACATTCTCTAATCACTTCCTGAGAATGGCTGAATTAGAGGTAGATATTCTGAATCCTTGTATATTAGAAAATCTCTTTATTCTCATTTCCCATTTGAGTGATTATCTGGCTGCACATAGATTGCAGTGTGCATTAATTCCAGAATGTTTGACCACAGGAACCTTTTCCATGGACATCCCATTGTCTCATAGGGCTCTGTGGAAATATACTTTGAGAAAAGTTTTCTCTTTGAGGAAAAGCTGTATTCAGTTAAGATTTTGCTTGCAAATATTGTGACTTGATGAGACTGTTCAGGTACCTGATGGATAGCTTAGTAAAGGTGTATTTGTTTTCATTTATGTTTATGCATATACTTTACCACCATGAAATTCTTTTACTCAGATAATCCTGTTCATAGTAGAAATTAATATTGCTAGAACTGAGGTGGGATTTTATGTTATTTGTATCCTAAAACTAAGTCCTGCTCCCTTATGCTTACTTATCCTACAAATTGGTCACCAAAGAGTTCTGTGTGACTAGTAAGACTCTCCACTATTGTGTATAATTACATTTCTCCATTTTATCCATATATATATATATATATATATATATATTCATTTTAAATCACAGCCCTTTCTTGTGGTCACAAACAGATATACCACAACAGCAGCAATGCAAAACCACTTTTACTACCATTGTTGTACTACTGTTCCACGTGTCAGGGATTTAACCTAACGACCTGCAATATAATGGTACTGAGTAGTACTTTTTCATTTATCTGGGAATAGAAGAGAACCTCTAACACAGATCTTGCTTGGGACCTGGGTTATGAGTAACCAGAGTCTTATTCTTCCTCATCTCCAGGTCTGTGGGTTCTGGGGTGCCACAACTCAGACTTTCGGAACAGAGGCATGACAGCCTTACTGAAGGTTTATAGTTGTGACAGGAACACTGGTGATTATTATGAGGACACATATGAAGATATTCCAACCTTCTTGCTGAATGAAAACAATGTCATTGAACCCAGAAGCTTCTCCCAGAATTCAAGGCACCCTAGCACTAGGCAAATGCAATTCAAAGCCACCACAACTCCAGAAAATGATATAGAGAAGACTGACCCTCAGTCTGGAGAGAGAATGCAGCTGCTTAAAGAACAAAGTGTCTCCTCTAGTGATTTGTTGGTGCTCTTGGGACAGAATCCTACTCCACATGGATTATCCTTGTCTGATCTCCAAGAAGCCAGAAATAAGGCTAATGATCATTTACCTAGAGCAATAGAAAGAAACAAGCGCCCGTCTGAAGTGGCACATCTCACACCAGAGCTCCATCACAGTGGGAAAATAGTATCTACACCTGAGCCAGAGATGCCGTTAAGATTGAATGAGAATTTGGGGACAACTGTAACAGTAGAGTTGAAGAAACTTGATTTTAAAATTTCTAGTTCATCGAACAACCTAATGACTCCACCAACAATTCTATCAGACAAGTTGTCAGCAGGTACTGAAAAGACAGGTTCCTTAGGACCCCCAAATATGCCAGTTAATTTTAGTAGTCAATTAGTATTTGGCAAAAATTCATCTCACTTTATTGGGTCTGGTGTACCTTTGGGCTTGAGTAAAGAAGATAATGACTCCAAGTCATTAGAAGCAGTTTTAACAAATAGTCAAGAAAGTTCACTGGGAGAAAATGTATTATCAGTGGAGAGTGATAGGTTATTTAAAGAGGAAAGAGTTCGTGGACCTGCTTCATTGACCAAAGATGATGCTTTATTTCAAGTTAATATCTCTTTAGTAAAGACAAACAAGGCACCAGTTAACTCAACAACTAATGCAAAGACTCACATTGAGGACCCCGCATTATTAATTGAGAATAGTACATCAGTCTGGCAAGATATTATGTTAGAAAGTAATACTGAGTTTCAAGAAGTAAGTCCCTTAATTCATGATGAAATGTTTACGGACAAAAATGCTACAGCTTTGGGACTAAATCATGTGTCTACTTCATCAAAAAATATGGAAATGATCCACCAAAACAAAGAAGGCTCCGTGCCAGTAGATGCAGAATATCCAGATACGTCGTTCTTCAAGACTCTGTTCTTGCCAGATTCAACAAATTGGGTAAAAAGGACCCATGGCAGGAACTCCCTAAGTTCTGGGCAAAGGCCCAATCCAAAGCAATTAACATCTTTGGGATCAGAAAAATCTGTGAAAGATCAGAATTTCTTGTCAGAGAAGAATAAGGTGGCAGTAGGAGAGGATGACTTTAGCAAGGGCACAGGTCTTAAAGAGATGATTTTTCCAAATAGCAAGAACATATTTCTTACTGACTTGGCTAATGTCCAAGAAAATGATACACAGAATCAAGAAAAGAAGTCTCAGGAAGAGATAGCAAGGAAAGAAAAATTAATCCAAGAGAATGTAGTTTTGCCTCAGGTGTATACAGTGACTGGAACTAAGAATTTTCTGAAGAACCTTTTTTCACTAAGCACTAAGCAAAATGTAGAAGGTTTAGATGAGGAGACATATACGCCAGTACTTCAAGACACCAGGTCATTGAATGGCTCAGCAAAAAGAGCAGGGATTCACATGGCCCATTTCTCAAAAATAAGGGAGGAAGCAAACTTGGAAGACTTGGGAAATCAAACAAAGAAAATGCTAGATAAATATCCAAGCACCACAAAGATGTCTTCTATTCCAAGTCAGCAGAAGGCTATACCTCAACGTGATAAGCGGGATTTGAAACAATTCAGACTCCCACTAGAAGAAATAAAGCTTGAAAGGGGGGTAATTTTGAATGACACCTCAACTCAGTGGTCCAAAAACATGAAATATTTGACCCAGGGCACCTTCACACAGATAGAGTACAACAGGAAGGAGAAAAGGGCCATTATTCAGTCATTCTTATCAGATTGTTCTATGAGGAGTCATGACATCATTCAAACAAATGGCTCTGCATTACCCATTGCACAGGTATCAGTATTCCCATCAGTTAGACCTACAGATGTGACCAAGATTCCATCCCAAGACAACTCTTCTCATCCTCCAGCATCCGCCTGTAGTTATAGCTTTGTGGAAAGGAGTTCTGGGGTCCAAGAAAGCAGTCATTTCTTACAAGGAGCCAAGAGAAATAACCTTTCTTTAGCCTTCCTAACCTTGGAAGTGATTGGAGGTCAAACAAATATCAGCACCCTAGGGAAACGGGCCACAAACTTACTCATGTACAAGGAACTTGAGAACACTGTTCTCTTGAAACCAGGATTGCCTGAAGCATCTGGCAAAGTTGTTCATCAGGAAGACTTTTTCCATACAAAAACTAGCAATGGTTCTCCTGCCCACCTGGATCTCAGGAAAGAGATATTCCTTCAGAGAACACAGGGACTTGTTAAATTGAATAAAGTAAATAGACCTGGAAAAGTACCCTTTCTGAAATGGGCAACAGAAAGCTCTGAAAATACTCCCCCCAAGCTGCTGGGTCCCCTTGCTTGGGATAACCAATATGCTACCCTGATACCAAGAGAAGAGAAATCCCTAGAGAAGTCACAAAAACACAGAGCTTTTAAGACAAAAGACATCATTTTGCCCCTGGACCCTTGTGAAAACAATCATTCAATAGCAGCAATAAATGAAGTACAAGATAAGACCCAAAGAGAAGCCACCTGGGTAAAGCAAGGAGGGACTGGAAGGTTGTGGTCTCAGAATCCACCAGTCTTGAAGCGCCATCAAAGGGAAGTAACCCTTACTACTTTTCAGCCAGAGGAAGACAAAATTGACTATGATGATACTTTCTCAATTGATACGAAGAGAGAAGATTTTGACATTTATGATGAGGGTGAAAATCAGGACCCCCGCAGCTTTCAAAAGAGAACGCGACACTATTTTATTGCTGCAGTGGAGCGGCTCTGGGATTATGGGATGAATAGATCCCCCCATGCACTAAGAAACAGGTATGGGTACACTGATTATTCCTTTGTCCTACTGTTGTGACCTTTGATTTTACCAGGTGCTGAAACAATAGGAAAGGCACAACCAGCAGTGAGACTCCAAAGATTGAGGAAACTGAGAACCAGATGGCAAAGTCTAGATGAAGCTGAGGAGCAAATGGGAGATTAGATGATGACACTAACAATGAGAGTTACGGGATGGTAAACCCAGATGGCATGAAACTCACTCTGGTGGGATGGTGAAGAAGAGGGGTCTACAAAAGGGTAGGGGGGTCAGAAGCAGCCATGGGGAGCAGGAAGAAAGTCAGCCTCACCTATCAGCCCTATGAGCTGCAGGGTAAGGTTTAGTCTCCTGAGAGAGCCCTGATAGAGGCAGGAGGAAGCAGTGAAGTGTGTGGTAAAGAGATTGAGGATGCAGGGAAAGTTGTTTTCCATAGTACTGGGGATCCAGAGGGCAAAGTGGGAGGATTTGATTGTTAGGGGAGCAGAGAGAGGTTGGGCAGGGGAGAGAAAGCACAGAGACATTTGGAAGATAAACATAAGGAGAGTCAATCAGTCAACCAGTATTTATTGAGCACCTATTATATGCCAGACACTTGCATAGACACTGGTGCAGCAAAGTAGGAGCCTACATTCTACTTGGGAGAGCAAGGGACAATAAATTAGTAGAAAACTAAATAGGGGAATCTTGGTGCTGTTCAAAAGGTAGACTTGAATAATATGGTAGAGTGACGGGGGTGTTACTTTAGCTGTAATGGTCAGAGGAATTCTCTTTGTGGAGTTGAGACCTAAATGATGATAAGAGGTCAGCTAACAGAGGTCTGAGAGAAGACATTTCCAGCAGAGGGAACAGGAAATGCAAAGGCCCTGAGAATGAAAGAAGTTTAGCATGTTTGAGGAACAAAAAAGGACCAACATGAATGTAGTACAGTAAGGAAGTGTGTGCAGGGGTAGGGAGATGAGGAGGCAGAGATGAGCATGGTCAGATAATATAGGTCCTAGAGGAAGGGCAGATGGTATCCCTCCTCATTAGTCATTGTCACTTCCCAGCCTTGCTTTCTACCTCAAATGAGCCCTTATTGCTGCACAGCCACCGTAGAATATTTCCTGCTCTCCTGGACCTCTATCTTACATTTTCTGCTTTTTCCCTAAATCTTCAATACGTTTTGCCCATTCTCCAACACCCCTTCTCACTCCTAGCTGATGCTTTGCACTGAACTCCACAGGCTTCCAACACCACAGTTACTGACGTCTGTACCAATATACTGTCCAGTTTTGCACTCGATCCCATCCTTTCTCCCTTCATAAAAACCGTTGCTTCAGCAAGTCCCTTGTTCTCTCTTACATCATCAGTTTCTCACTCTCCACCGGATTAGTCTCACCAGCATCAATCAGGCTATTGATTAGAACAGGGTAGTGGTGGTGAAAATCAAAAGGAATGTAAGCATGTTGATTATAATTTAAAGATAAGCAGAGAGGGCTTGCTGTTAGATTGAGTATGGAGAGGAATGGTGAGAGAAGACTCAAAGAAGATTTTCGGGTTTTGTCCTGAGCAACGAGGTGGATGATAGTGACATTTAATGAGATGTGGAAGGCTTGAAGCAGAACAGATTTACTTGAAGAAACACTCAAGGGTCTGTTTTGTACATATTTAATTTGAGATGCCTGTTAGAGATCCAAGTTGAGTTTTTCAAAAGTTTCTTTTAATTTTTTTTTGGCTGCATTGGGTCTTAGTTGCAGCACGTGGGATCTTCATTGAGGCATGCAGGATCTTTTCATTGCAGCGCACGGGCTCTTTGTTGTGGTGTGCGGGCTTCTCTCTAGTTGTGTCATGCTGGCTCCAGGGCACGTGGGCTCTGTAGTTTGTGGCACATGGGGTCTCTAGTTGAGGCTTGCGAGCTCAGTAGTTGTGGCACATGGGCTTAGTTGCCCCGTGGCATGTGTGATCTTAGTTCCCCGACCAGGGATCGAACCCACATCCCCTGAATTGGAAGGTGGATTCTTTACCACTGGACCACCAGGGAAGTCCCCGAGTTGAGATGTTGAGTAGGCAGTTAGATATATGAGTCTGGAATGCAAGGAAGAGGTCTGTGCTAAAGATATAAATTTAGGAGTTATGAGCTTATTAATAGCATTCAAATAAGACTTGATTGGATGATAAGGGAGTAAAAGTAGATGTAAACCGTGCCCACTTTACGCTGGGTCCCCAAAGGGCTACATCCTCAAAGTAGTGATAAACCAGTTAACTTGCACTTCATTGAGTTACAGCCCAGTTTTCTGTCATCTGTGTTGTCCATGAAATCTTTTTTCTTGATCAAAATTTAAGCATGTCTTGGATTGGCAGTGCCTGCAGACATCTGGCTGAAGAATACATAAAATGTCTCTAGTATAAGAAACCAACATTCTAGGCCTCAAGTTATTTTCACAGATATTCCAGATACAACTTCTAGCACACAAAGATACTGGGTATGAAATAAAACAAGAAAAATAAGCAAGAAACCACAGCTAAGGAGTCCACATGCCGCAACTAAGGAGCCGGCGAACTGCAACTAAGACCCAGTGCAACCATGTAAATAAATAAATACATAAATATTTTTTAAAAATCTAAGTACTCAGTTAAGTAGAAAGGAAACTTTAAAGCAAGAGGTTTGTAGAGATAAGGAGGAAATGTTATAATAATAAACCTGTCAATTCAATAGGCAGCCATACATTCCTAAATTACTATGAACCTAATAATATAGTTTTAAAATATGTAGAGCAAAACTTGACAGACTTAAATAGAGAAATAGATAAATTCTCAATCATTATCATCACTTCTATTCAATACTGTACTGAACACTCAAGCAGTAAACACATATAAAAGGTATAAAGTTTGAAAAGAAAGAAATAAAACTGTCCTTGAGTACAGATGATATGATTTTATACATATAAAAAATGTTTACAAATAAGTGATTAGAATTAACTAGGCAGGTTAGCAGGTTTGTAGAATTGAAAATCAATATACAAAATCTATTATATATCGATATAGTAGCAGCAGACAGGTAGAAAATGAAATTAAAAGAACATGTCATTTACAATGGAATGAAATAGTAACAAGCACCTAGAAATAAGTATGACAAAAAATTTTCAAGACCTCTATGGAAAAACCTATGGAAATTTATTGGGAAGCTTTAAAGAAGACCTAAGTAGATGCCAAGATATACCATGTACATGAACTGGAAAATGTGATATTGTGAAAATGTAAACTATCCCCAAACCGATCTATAGATTCGGCACAACCTATGTGAAAATCTCAACAAGTATTCTCTCTTGAAGAACTCAACAAGCCTGATTTTAAAGTTACTAAGAAAATGTAAAGCACCAAGAATAGCCAAGACCCTCTTGAGGAAAAGGAACAAGATGGGAGGAATTGCTGTATAACATATTGAGACTTATTTTAAAGCTATAGTAATGTGATAATTGGCTTAGGAGTAAACAAATAGGTCAGTGAAAGAGAACAGAAAATCCAAAACTAGACTCACACATTTATAGGCATTTGATTTATGGAAAAGGTGTCACAGAAGAGCAGCTTTCAATAAATGTGCTGAAATTTTTTGATATCCATATGGAAAAACATTAAACTGGATCCCTGACTCACACTATACACAAAAATCCACTAACAGTGGGTTACAAGTCTAAACATAAATATAAAACCTTAAATCTCTTAGAAAGAAAAAAAGTAAAAGAATATCTCAATAACTTCAGGGTAGGAAAAGAAAGAGAATTGATATCAAGATACAAAAAGCACTAACCATGAAGAATTTTTAAATAAATTTCACTACATTAAAATTACGAATTTATGCTCATCCAAAGATAACAAAAAGAATGAAAAAATAGCAACAGAAGGGAAGATGTTTGCAGCACAAAAGGCCAACGAAGACTTATACCAAGAATATATAGAGTACTCCTTTGAATCAATAAGAAAAAAAGGCTGATTATCCAATAGAAAAATTGATACAAAAAAGAAGAAAACAAACTTGGATAGGCAGTTCCACAAGAGGAAATCCAAATGGCTACTACCCATAAGAAATTAACCTCATTATTAATCAGGGAAATGCAAAATAAAACCACAGAGACACTGCTATGCAACCACTAGAATGGCCAAAAATGTAAAAACACAGTCAATGTCAAGTGTTTGTGAAGATTTGGAGCAAATGGAACTCTCATACATTGCTGATGAAAATGGAAAATGGTGCAGTTCCCCTCCTAGATATGTGCCCAGCAGAAATGCATACGAAGGTTCATAACAGGACTATGTATAAGCACCAGAAATTACTCAAATGCACATGATTGCATTATATTCACACAATGGAATACTATACAGCAATAGGAATGAACAAACTATAGCTACACACAACAACATAGACAAATCACAACCATAATGCTGAGTAAAAAATATCACAAACAAAAGAATGTATGCAGTATGGTTCCACTTGCATCCTTCAAAAATAGGCAAAACTAAGCTATGTTCTTTAGGTATGTATACGTAAGTGGTACAGTTATGAACAAAATCAAATAAATAATTATAAACATCAGAATGGGGGTTACACTTAGTGGGAAGGGAGAGGATGTGATTGAAAAGGCAGATAACAGTGAGTCTTCTGGGCTGCTGGCAAAGTTCTTGATCTTAGTGGTGGTTGCATTTTTTGTATCAAAAGCATTTATGTTTTATGCACTTTATTGTATAGTTTTAGTTCACAGTTTTTACAGAATTTTTAAAAAGCAAAGAAAAGTGGTCCAAGGACTGAACACTGAGGCTCTCATATTTAGAGTATGTTTATAAACCCTACATCCATTCAACGTTCAACAAATCTTTTTTGAGCACCTACTATGTGGCAGGCACTTGTTCCAGCTGCTGGGAGTACAACAGTGGACAAAACAGACAAATCCCCCTGCTTTCATGGATCTTATATACTAGAGAAGCCTGGAGAGAGTATGTCAAGGAGGGTGGAGTGGTTAACTATGCAAAATGTTGCTTAGATGTTGAGTAAGATGAGGACATAAAATTGACTATTGGCTTTGATAAGCCACTTGCATGATTCTGTTACCACCTAAATATAGATGATCTTCATCTAGACCTCTTTTGTGAACTCCCAGTCTCCATGTATTTCCCAATATAATTCCCATAGATACCCCATGTGTCCAAAACTGTATACAGCAACCTACCCTTCTAGGGTTCTCCATCTCAGTGAACTGCGTCACCATCCATCCATTTGCACAAATCAGAAACCGGGAGGTTATCTTTAGTCCCTCTTTCTCCCTCCCTTCTCCATTACATTTCCAATTCATCATCAATTCTACCAAATGTATCTCAAATACAGGGAGCACAACAATGTGAGGCATTTCTACCCACCTGGTCCATGAGGATATTGCTTTTCCTCTGCTTTTTTCTCCAGAGCTGAGAATGGAGATGTCCCTCAGTTCAAAAAGGTGGTATTTGAGGAATATGCTGATGGCTCCTTTACTCAGCCCTTATACCGTGGAGAACTAAATGAACATTTGGGACTCTTGGGACCATATATAAGAGCAGAAGTGGAAGACAACATCATGGTAAGTTGAGGACAATGAAATTAGAAGAAAATTAATCCCGTGTGTGTTTTTTAGATTTCTGATTCTAAAAATAATGGCCGTAAAAAAGAATGAAATAATGCCATTTGTAGCAACATGGATGGACCTAGAGATTGTCATACTGAGTGAAGTCAGACAGAGAAAGAGAAATATCATATGATATCGCTTATATATGGAATCTTTAAAAAGGGTACAAGTGAATTTATTTACAAAACAAATAGAGTCACAGTTGTAGAAAACAAAACTTATGGTTAACAGGGGGGAAGGCGGGAGGGAGGCATACATTGGGAGATCAGGATTGACATATACACATTACTATATATAAAATAGATAACTAGTAAGAAGCTGCTGTATAGCACTGGGAACTCCACTCAATGCTTTGTAATAACCTATATGGGAAAAGAATCTAAAAAAGAGTGGATAGGTCTTCCCTGGTGGCGCAGTGGTTGAGAGTCCGCCTGCTGATGCAGGGGACATGGGTTCGTGCCCCGGTCCGGGATGATCCCACATGCCGCGGAGTGGCTGGGCCCGTGAGCCATGGCCGCTGAGCCTGCACGTCCGGAGCCTGTGCTCCGCAACGGAAGAGGCCA